TTAAAAAACAAAGTGGACAGCTCCATATTACTTTCATCAAGGCTAAATAATATGGGCCAAGTGAGTATATTATTATAGTCCTTTGAAAAAATTACGAATTTTATCTGTCATTTGACATCAAGTAGATAAAAAGGCAATAGATTTTCAGTGTTTCAGAATTTTAAAACTACAGTTTTATGGTGGTTCTCTGTTTCACCTCTACCATTTCTCTATTTCTCCAATAGGCCAAGCCCTTTAGAGGGTTAGCAGGTTGACCCAGGCCAGACAAAAATGAGTATAAGATGTGATTTCTGTCTTCAGGGAGCTCAAAGCTTCCTTGGATGCAATGTTGGAAGGGGCAGACAGCCATAATAACAAGGAACTCTACCCGTGGGAGAAATCAAGACGTAATACGGAGTTCTGACGGAATCCGGAAGCCCTCCGAGTCCAGCACAGGGAGCAGGGTAGAGTCCCACCACAATTATACCAACCGTGAAGGGGAGGGGAATTCAGCTGAGGGAAGAGTGCGTGCAGGGAGGAGCAGAGGTGCTTAGCCTGCCGGGCTCACCTGGGCAGGAGGTGAGGCCAGGACAGACGAGCGAGAAATGCGTAAGCTCTGTCGTCCAGTGCGGGCATTTCCTGACCTGGTAGGGAACCATTTAGAGTTTAAATATTCTCGAATTCTTTACGTAAAGATTGCTGTCCTTCTAAGAAGCAGGTGGCTCCTACCCAGAAGGAAGTTTCTGTCTTGTCCTGTGCATTACTGTCAAATGTTGAGCTATTTGTTCATTCACAGCAAGGAGACAAATAAGCTAAATAAACTATGGAAGAGGTAAATACTGTTCCAGAACAGATGTGATTGCGTATGCCCTACCTGCTTTGTTTACTCCAGCAATTCTTTCTGAAAGTTTTCCAAATGACCCAGTAGATATCCCAGAAATTCTCCTGAAGTTGGGTTATATTTATTTTTACTTGCTTGCCACTCCCTCCTTACCCCCCTCCCACCAAAAGAATAAATAAATAAAAAGCAAAAGTGCTGCTATCTTAGGGCAAAAATAAAATATACTCTCTTGGAGAAAGGCTTTTTCTTTTCCTTCGATTCTAAGTGTTGCCGGGTTCTATAACAATATAAATAGACTTAAGTGTGTGTGTGATTTTTATAGTGGATGTGTTTAGCTTTTCCCCCTTTTCTGATGTTGAATTCCTTTATCATTCAGTAGAGAAATCATCATGGCAAAGTGGGAAGGCAGATCTTTGGGAGCACGGGAAATTTAGATTTGCATTCCCATTCTGCTGCTAATTAGCTTTGTTATCTTGGGCAAGTTATTTAACTTCTCTGAGGTTAAATCCCTTCTCTTTTAGGAGGTAGGAACGGAATAAAACAAGCCCCGCCCAGTGCTGCGGGGAAGATTAATTAAAAGAAAAATGCACGTACAGGCACCAAGGCTATATATATTGGGGATATGTGGTGGGTGACAAATAAAACTGGAGCTCCCAGCATTGCAATTGTTAAAATGTTAAAGGGGAGAAAGCGAAACTCCATCATTTAGGCGAGAAATAGGGATAAACTGTAGAGTAGCAGGAGGTTTGCTCATATGCTAGATGACTGTTTGTTTATTCATTTCCCAAAGATATTGCAAAGGCTGTGAATATTTATTTAGTTCTGCTCCCAATAGCCCTTCTAATAGGGAATTATTTGGGTACAACGAAAGACATTTGTAAATGCGGCTGATAAGACTGACACTGGACAAGGAGTGTTTTGTTGGACACAAGAATTCTATTGTCACTGGCTTCAGTTGTCAAGTGCCCGGGGAACCCAGAATTTATGGTGACAGCACAATGGGCCTTTCAGGGCCCAGCAAAAGAGCTGTGAGATCCCGCTCCCCGGCTTTTCAGGGCTTCTAATCTTTTTATCGGGCCCGGACAATGCCGGATTCAGCTGCTGCCTGCGCCTCCTGACTGTCCATTGGCCATCAGGTATTGTGCGGTAATTACCATGGTGACAATGGACTCTCTCTACACCAGTCCATCGGTGCTTTGGAAAACGGCAAAGGTTGTCACTTTGTATTAGGTGCCTCTAAAGGCATGGCTTACTTAGAAAAACTACTAAAGAGAAATAAAGATAATCATGCTAAGAGTTTGATTTAAAGGGCCACTGTGTCAAATCCATTTGTAACCCAGGAACTCTTTATGGATGTTTTCCCGTAATTACAGCCAGACGCTGGGCGTCATCCCTGCGCAAGCAGTGAGTAGCCGGCCTTCGAGATTTTGCAGGGAGCCCTGAGCTCTGGGCAGCTGGCAGCCCTCAAAGTCCTATGGGAGCAGAGGTCTAAGCTGAGCCATTGTACTTTGAGGGATCCCTGAACTTCTTTAAAAACTCAGTTTCCTCATCTGAAAAGGAATGGTGTGGAAAAATGCTTATAGATTAATGTTAATTATATATCCCGTGAATGTATATTAATATATACAAATGTATGATTATTAATCAATATATGAAAGCTTATCCATCTACCATAGGGCTTTGTGAACAGCAAATATACAATAAAAGGTAAAACTAATGTTTTACTCGTGCACAATTGAAAAAGCACAATCTATACCTTTTCATAATCACAGCTACTAATCATTGAGTGCCTACTCTAAGTGAGGTATTGTATTTATTATCACTATTCTTTACAATAATCCTACAAAAGAGTTATTAATATCCCCATTTTATAGTGAAGAAACTGAGGCTCAAAAAGTTCTTGCCAAAGTCAAATTAGCTTGGAAGAGGCAAAGCCTGGATTTTAAGTCCTGCCCCCTCACATTTAATAGCTTCTTCCCTCATTTTTTTTTTAATCATAATCTACAAATTTATCTTACAAAATATGCTTCACCATATGGTTTTGGAACTTGGGCAATTAACAGGAAAGAAAAACACCCAGTGGTGAGTATTTAATTGGGTTTATTCATCCCTTCAACAATGTCAGGAACATGTGACACCCATAAAAGGAAGAAGCCCGCATCTGCAGGGAACCCAGGCTCTACTGCCTGTGCCCCTTCTCCTGTCTGTGGAGCAAGAAAAACACACAGCAATATCAACAAAACAACTTGGTGTTTCTAGACCAACAGAAAATTACATGGCCTTTGCTTGACTTCTATGCCCAATAAAAGTTTCAAAAACCTGATATTTTATTAATAGTAATGTATTTAATCATAGTTTGTATTACTCAGCTCCATACCAAAATATCTCAAATTCCCTGTTGTGTTGTTATACCAAAAAGTAGAAATTATGTTATCACATCCTAGAGAAACGGGCATAATTTACCCGGGGAAGTAGGTCTCGTTGTGGGTTCTTAAAGCTGGCAGGAAAGAAGTAGATTTTTTAGTGATTTGGTCTCTGCTGCTTCCTTGCTCTATGAATTTGGATATTTACCACTTAGCCTCAGTTTTTTTCACCTGTAAAATGGAGCTGTCACTCTCTCCTTGGGCTACTCTGCTCCACTCAATGGCAATTCTTTCCCTTTTATACCCATCACCCCTGTGTCATACCTATATATACACAGTTAATGGCCTGAGGATCCTGAAGCATGCACTGATGGAGTAAGTGGGGTGGGGACTATTTTAATGTAATTCACATATACTTTCAGCCCTTATCCTCCCCCACAGCACTATATGTTGGTGTTTTTGTTGCTGGAGTGCTGTTGACAATGATCCTGGCACACACCTGCCCGGGCTGAGCCCACATTCCAGAAGAAGACCCACACATGGAGAGCTATAAGCCAGGGTATTTGATTTGGAGCAGAAATCCTGAGAGGGATGGCAGCATGACTCGTGGGTCAAAGGGAAGGATATGGCTCTGACTGTACTGAGTCTTCAATACAGTCAGAGCTCAGCAAAAGAAATTTGCCACAATCACATCCCCATCTGTCCCTGAGTTTCCTCCTTGATTTTGATATGCTTGCCAAGTATTTTCTCCATCCCACTTTACACCCTTGGCTTCATGGTGTTCCTCTTCCTGATTTCTCAGTCTCTGAACTAATATATGGCATGGAGTGTCTTCGCCTCTAAGAGGTTCAGTACTATGGGTAGCCGAGCACAGCAATGGAAGGGGCTGGTAGAGAGCAGTGGTTCCCGTACTTCAAGAGGGCCCATGATGGCATGCAAGCCTTGGGAAATGAAGGGAAGATGCCCTGAGAGTAGGTAGGAGTGCGTGCAGCAGGGCTGCATTGTATTTTTCTGTCTCAAAAGGGACCACATGATTCCAGGCCTGGGGGGAGTCATTAGATGTGGGGAAGGTCTGGGGGGAGAGGGAAAATGAACATTCCAACCAAGAACACCAGTGCAGAAAGAGAACATCTGCACTATACCTGCCCAGCCCTCTCAAACCTAATGAACTCTTTTTTCCCATCAATTCTGTTAAAAGCACAAAAACAACTTAGATTTCTTCTGTTCATTTTTTTCTAAGAAAGATGGTATAATTGTATACTACAGACATTGTCCACAGAACCCAGAGCCCCTCTTTCTCAAATGTTTGCAGTGATCAGAATTCGTAGACAATTCACCCATTTATTTTTGCTTTCCTTCCAAGGCTCTTAATTGTCAGTGCAAGCTTTTGGTGAAAGGAGTTTTAAAGGAGACATTTTGCAGGGAGGTAAAGAATGCAAGGCCAAGTGGGAGTTCAATTCGTTTTTATAGATTTGAGAAGTAAACTTTTAAAAGCACAATGGCTGTATCATGAACTGATTGGAGACCAGAGAAGAAACACAGGCTATGAAGTCTGCACTGCTGGATTCTGATCCCACCTTGGGTGTTATGGGCTGTACACCTCGGGCAAGAGTTTGACCTTTTTGAGTGGTGGGGTGAGATACCCTGATGAGTTCATGATACCCAGAGTGGATATATGCATTTAAAGAGAATACATTGGTAAGGACTACAACAAATGCCCGTTCCATCCCATCCCTGTTTATGGTCTCCTATTCATCCATTTCTGGGTAACATACCACCCCCAAATTTAGTGTCTCATAACAACTATTTATCATTACCTCTTACAGTTGAGTTGAGTGAATCATCTGGGCAGTTGTTACTTGGGCTCTCATGCTGTGTAGTCAGATGGCTGGAGTCACATGAAGGTTTGAGTGGGTTGGATGTCCAAGATGGCACCTTGACTTAGCATCTGGCTCTTCAGCTTGGATGCCTGGAACAGCTAGACATGGCTGGGCATCTCTCTCGCTATCTATGCAGCTTCTCCACATGGCTAGCTGGAGCTTCCTCACAGCATGGAGGTCTAGAGCATTCATACTTCAGACATGGCAGCTGACTTCTCCCAGAGCAAGCTTTCCAAGAACACAAGACAGGTTACCAGGTTTTTATGACTCAGCTTCTGAAATCATATAGTATCACTTTGGCAGTGTTTAATTGGTTACCCAGGGGCAACTCAGAGTCACATGGAGGGGGACCACATAAGGGCATGAATGTCTGGGCGTGTGATTCATTGGGGGAGGGCTGCTGGAAACTGGCTACAATGTGGTTGCAAGTTGGGTCCTTCCTTATCAGTTATGTGCTGAATGAACTGCCCCCTGTGACTCCATGTGCATCTTTTATGACTCCATGTGCATCTGCTACTCTATCTTTGACATCCTGGAAATAGCACACATTAGGACAGTTTTCCTGTTCTTGATACAGTCACCAAATCAAGGAGCCATGAACAGATTTCAGTAGATGTACAGTTCATCCTCAGCCCTTCACCAGAGGGTTTTTCACATGTTGTTGCTGTCCTTGTTTGTTTTGGAGAAGGCATTGTGTGTGAGGAGCTGTTAGGTGGAACCAAGATGAGGCAAGGAAAAGTGGATTTAGGAAAAATGAAAGATAATAAAGTCAAAGTAAGAAGCTGTTTAAGCCCTTAATGCAGCCCGAGTTGATCCTAGAAGGTAGAAGTTCTGGAGAGCAAGGACATTCAAGAACTCCTTTATGCTGCTGTGTTAGGGACGCTATGCCAGCCGCACCTTCCTTGGTTCAGTGCCTCGGTTTTGGAAGACGACAGCTGTTCAGACACTCCATATTCCTCTCTTCATTCATTCAGCAAATATACATTGAACAGCTGCTCTGGGCTAGGAAACGTGTTAGACACTTCAGGAGACGTGAAGATGAATCAGACCCGAATCCAGGCAGAACACAGCCCCACAGAAACTCCAGAATGTGGTGCAGAGCAGGAGGGGGGCGGAGAGGAATGTCATCTTGACAAAGAATTGCAGCTCTGTCAGCCCCGTGCTCTGCTTTGCCAGCATGGGGATGACATCTCCTATCACAACTGCCACCACTGTCACTCTCTGCCCTTGAGTCTGCCATTCCATGAGGGTTCGACAGCACCAGAGCAGTGCTTCTCCCTTTAGGAGGGAAGGAACTTGCTTTGGACGCCAGTAAAATGTGGATTCTATCAGCAACCGGCTCTAAGACTTCCTGTCTCCCCTACAGGTTTGTCGTTAGTGCTAGAGCAGATGCGTGTAAAGTGTGTAGCGTATTATAAGAAGTTGGATGTATGACTGCTTTTATCTTTGTTATCAAAGTTCCAGATGCACAAATGGTTCATCAAACCATCCTGTGGGTACATCTAAATCCATGACAAGTTTTTCCCAGTTTGCACACAACTGTGATAATTTGTTTATGTCTTTCTACACCTGGACCGTTACTGTCTGAGAAAAGTGTGTCCTATGCAACTGTGTACCCCCGGTGTCTAGTAGTGTATCACTTTATTGATTCATGTCACCTCTAGGTTACTAACAATCCTTTCACTTTTTGCAGAAATCACTGTATATTCGGCTCAGTGGCCTCCTGACGATCATTCCTGTTGCCATTTGTTGAACGACCAATCAGATGGGTGGAGTTTTGTGTTATAGAAATTGGCAGCAAGTATCCAATGGGTGAAGAAGGTAAGATGGACCAGCGTTACTGAGTGTTTCAAACGTAACTATATTTGTGGAGATGGAAACGACGGCTTCCAGGCCCATCGCATAAACCTGCGGTGGTTTGAACCTTCACAAATCCAGAGTAGAATTTGACAGGGAAGTAGGCCTGGGCTTTGAGGAATGTGATTATTCACTGTTGTTATTGGGTTATCTCTATGGAGCATCTATTATGTTCCCGCACAAGGATGATGGTAGTTTTTTGTTTTGGGTTTTTTTTTTTTTTGACTATAGAAGGTTCAGAGGAGAAAGAAGGAACTAAAGGGGGTTATAATTCCTTAGCAAGAGTTCGGCTGGATAGACTGACTAAGGCAACCGACATGTTGTTTTTTATCCCATTTTCTTCTTTTGAAAAGAATTCTCTAAATATGTACAAGGTGGCTTACATCCCACGAGGAAAAGAGATCGCTAGGAGGCTGAACCTTTTAGATCTCAAAAGACAGAGCACTAGATCATAAGTCAGGAGGATGACTTCAACTCCAAGACCTGGCTCTGCCATTCATTGTCTGTGTGCCCTAGGTTAAGGAGCTCTTCTCTGGGACACAAGGGTAGTTGGATCCAGAGTCTCTAATAGTCCTTAAGTCTTAGGATTCTATGAATGTATTTACCTCCTTTATCTGCTCAGTAGTAACTGGAGCTATATTTTATAGGATGTCCAAATATTCAGATAAAAATTTAAGAATTAATTCTACCAGCATGACTTTCCACACTTTAGTGTCCTAGACCATCCTTCCACGTGTCAGTGGCTCATCTCCACGTGTGTGTCCACCAAGTGCCTTAAATGCAGGGGCCAAATACAAGTCATGATTTTCTCCTCTAAAGCTTTACCTTGTCCTGTGTGCCACATTTCAGCCATAGCACCAAAATTCACTCACATCCAAAACATGGGAGGGATCCCATATGCCTCCCAACCCCTACCTCCAATAGCAACTGATTCCTGTTGACTCACTCTCTGGCTATCTCTGAAACATTTTTCTTTTTCTCTATCCCCACTGCCACCATCCAAATGCAAGCCAGATCCCCTTTCTCCAAGATTTTGCCACAGTTGCCACCTAACAGATCTTTTTGCCTCCAGTGTTACTTCTCCCTCTGTCAGCTCCAGCATGATCCATCTTTCCTACATATCCTGAACAGTGTCCCTAAATCCAGAAACTATGTTACTTTGCTACTTAATCGCTTTCGATGTTACAGATCTGAACTCCTTCTCAGGCTTCTAGGACCCTTCGTTGATGGGGCCACTGTTCTGTCGTCCAGAGTCACTCCCAGCTGCTCTCTGCACACCCAGCCCTCACTGTACACGTCCACTCTAGGATCTACTATAAGGCACAACCTTTATTTCCCCAAAGCCCAGTAATCTCCCTGTCTTCACAAGCTAAGTTTTACTCATAAATTATACCTTCACTTGGACCTCACTATCTCTAAGGAGTTCTTTCTGATCCCTGAAGACTGGGCTTTGGGTGTCTCCTAGCCTTTAGTCATCGAGATTACACCATTTACTGTGATTCCCACATTGGGTTGTAATTGTCTGTTTAGTTGTCAGTCTTCCCAGCTAGACCTGAAGGTTCTTGAGGATTGGCCTTATTTTGGAACCACCAGGCTCCCAGTTGCAAGCACTGTATCTGGCGCAAAGTAGGTTCTCAATAAATATTTACTAAATGTATGAATAGAGACTCTAAGTATAGTTTAAATAGAAAATGAAGAAGGGGACCTGATGTTACCACAGAGAGAAAAGTCACAATGTTGACAGCTAACAGGTATTGAGTGCTTACGATATGTCAGGCACATAAGGTCTTTAAAGGTATCACCTCCCTTAATCCTTGCAAAAACCTACTGTGATAGATTCCATCAATATCCAAGATATTACAAATGAGAAAACCGAGTTTTAGAAAAGATAAGTAACTTGCCTGTGGCCATATTGCCATACTTTTATCCTTGGACGTTTTTATCCTTGGAGGTCTGACTTTAGCTAGAGCTTTTATCTTTGCTTACTCCTTTCTTTTGTCTTCCCCAGAATTAATCTGATCCATTATGGACAAAAAACATTTCCTCCACGTAAGGCTAAGACTTTTCCTGCAGCCCACACAAGCTATTTTTACTTAGATGGTCAGCCCCTGTGACTGGGGCGTGTAAATCTTTGGTGATTTTCCAGGTGTTTTACACTCATATTCTAATGTGGGTTTGTTCTGGGACAAAATTTCAATTTGGGGAGCCCCCCTACTCTTTCTCCCATGTTCTGGCCAACGTTTGTCATGGGAATAAACCAATGAATGAAAACACTCTTAGTGAAGGCAGAGCCATGCTTTCCTGCAAATGCACCAATATGACTTGGAAATTATGTGGCCGACTCCTCTCATGTTAGCATATTTTGCACTCATTTGCTCTGAAGCCTGGCTCAGCAGAGGGAACGCATCCCTCCTCTGGAAATGCCTGTGAATGATGATCATCTCATTTCTGCCAAGCCAGATGGGTCTCTTCATTTCATCCGACCTTTGAATTCTTCAGTAGGACTTGCGGCTGACATTTCCTTTTTTTCTTGGTAATAGGGACAATTAGAATGAGGTATCAATGAAACAGAGTCAGAAGTTAAATAGAAAGTACTTCAATTTAATTTGTCTTCTAGGAAATCGTTTAGGTGTTTTTTTTTTCCCACTTAGAAATTAAGAACAGCCTGTTTCGAAGAGTTCTGCATAGCTTTTATTCCAAGGAGAGGAAGGTAAACTATTCTAATGTTTGTAGCACCCTTAAAAAATCACAGGATGGTACAGATGGAACAGTCCTTTGATCTTTCAGGATAATCTTCTTGTTTTAGACATAGGATTTTTTTTTTTTTTTTTTTTTTTTTTTTTTTTGTGGCGGGAAAGGACTTGGATGATACTGTAAGGTTTTGGAAGGGCAAAATGAAACTTACCTACAACTTTGGCTCAAGACTCAGATTCTTGATCCCCAATCCACTCAGGATGGCAGTGTTCCTTGAACAAGTGCCTGTGATGTGCCAGGATACAGGCAGGGATGAAAGGCTCTTTCCCTTTCTTCAAGGAGCTTACAGTCAAGGAGCTCTGTATAAAGCACTCAGAATCCTAGTGGGAAGGGAAGAGAGGGGGATGGGAGGTAGAGAGAAAGACTTTTCACAAATGGTTGTGAAGTGGTTTGGACTTAGGGATCAACTCTCTGGCTGACTTCTAGGGAAATCCACTTGAACTTCCGTTCCTGGTACATTTTTCTTACTTAGACACCTCCTCAGAGCAGGAGAGGAATGACCTGAGTAGCTACAGGACAGAGCTTCCTGGCCCCGCTACCACACTGAGCTTTTAGTAGGGCATTGGGGCACAGATTCGAACGTCTTGAAGCGAAAAGTATTTGTTGTTATACTCATGAAAAGTATACACACGTTGAGACCCTCCTGACCGATAATCAGCATGGGCTAATCATCACAGGCCACCCAATTATCTTTCATTTGCATAAACATTTGCATAAAAATCAATCCCCAAAAGCCCCCGGGGTGGGGGGGGCAGCTCACCTGTGCTGGAGCAGCCACCAGGCTCTGCATTGTCCCTGACAGTGTGAAATGTCAGCAGCCTGCCTCCTAACCCCTCTGCCTGCTGGGTCTGTCTGTGAAGGCACATTTCCTATTTTGGGATATAGGCCACTGTGGAGAAAGAGGCCAAGTATCTGTCTGTGGCTGGTGCCCTGAGAATCATAAACAGACACTCAGTTCACTTGCTGACTCCTTTGCAGATCCTCAGTGTGTACAGTGTGACTGTCACTAATGCAATCAACTAAGGGATACAGGAAGCTCTCGTGTGCCAGGTAATGTAAATATCCCACCTTTGCCAGAATCAGTACTAAAGGACAAACTTCAACCGAAGCCATGGTTATGTAATCTTGCTTTATTTAAGGAATGGTGAACAAAGTGCACAGACCCTCCTGATCAGGACAGTGAGAGCTGATGTTTAACGCAACGCCCATGTGCAGACACTGTGCTACGTGCTCGATGTTCATTGTCTTGTTTGACGTCACCAACACTTTGGTATGTGCCGTTGTCCTGATTCTTTTATGATGAGGACACGGAGGTTCAGAGAGGTGAATGAACTTCCTGAGGGCCAAACGGTGAGCGACATGTAGAGCTGGGGCCTCCACGCCCCAGTACAGTACCGTAGTGCCTCCAGTGTGTTTCTTCCAATTCTTTGGTGTCTTGCCTTCTGGTCTTAACCAAGTTGGATGGTGATTATATTACAGTTCTTTTGGTGGTCATATCATAAATCTCCATGTGGGTTATAAGGGAGACAGACCTAGGTGCTGCTGGCTAATGTAGCACTGTGCTGCTGAATGTAGGCACTGAGTGAGAGGTAACCCATGGGGACAGGAAGATCATCAATCATCTCTTGAGAACCATTCCTACTTTAGGCCTTGGACTAGGTGCCGGTACAGCAATGAACGAGATGCACATGTATCAACACGACAATTGTACCAAAGTCATATCTTTAAAGAGCACCCCTTCTTGTGGTGGAGCCAGGTCAGCAGAAAATAACCATGGCTTAGAGTTTCTTAGCTCCATGGGTTCGTAGGAGCACAGAGGGACTGACTCTGATAAGAGAAAATCGGGAAAGGCTTCAGTGAGGAGGTGACCTTTGGGTTTAGATGTGACGTATGAGTCAGAATTTACCAGGAGACAATCAGGAAGGATTTTTCAAGCAAAGAGAAAAGTGCAGAGGTTCTTGAGGCAAAATATTCATGACTAGGTGGTTTGTTTGTTTGTTTATATAAGTAGGTAAGACAGTTACAAGGTCTACAGAAAATTAAGTATCCTTCAATCCCTATCTTCTAGTCTCTCAATTTCCTTCCCTGGAGGCAGCTACTATTTTCAGTTTTCTATGTGACCCTCCAGAGAGTTTCCAGGCAGTTACGACGTTACAACCACACACTCATGTACTCGCTTCTTCCATGTTTGTATACATAGGTGGTATCCAACTGTAAACACTCGTACGTACACTGTTCTACACCTTGATTTTGAAAAGAAAACTTTATTAAGTTTCCCCCCTTGTTTTTGTTGCTTGTTCTCTGATTTTAAGCTTTCTTTAAATTTTAAAACATTTCAAACCTACAGAAAAGCTGCAAAGCTAGTAAAATTAATTCTTATAAACCCTTCATCTTGAGTCACTGATTTTTTTAAACCATTTCCCTCATGTTCCATGCAACAGCTGTATGAACGTAATGCCTAATCGAGGTACAGCTTGGACGTCAGTTACCCAGACACTTAGGTGAGCTTCTTCTCTCTCCCCAGCACTTACTTAGCAAGATAACCAAGATGTACTTGAAACCAAGAATACGTTCCTCTCTTTGTCAGTTTCCCTGAGATGCCAGAAGCAGCAAATGTACCCCCAGGATGGAGATGGCAGGAGGGGCCCCTCTTTGGGCCACTTGCTACCCACTTGATGCTCATCTGTGGGAAAGGATCTTCCCCTGTCTCATCAAGTAGGGGAGTCTCAGGCAGGCGATCACGCTCTCTGCACACTTCCCTTCTGGACCCAGTGGTCCAGGATGGGAACAGACAGTCCCACTGAAATCTACCCACTTCATTTCCGGCAACCAGTCATGTAGATAGTGTGACTTTTCTGTTCTGCTTGTCAGAGTCAACACGGCATCTCAAAGGCTGGTGTAGGGTTCCCTCCTTTTAAAGATCAAAGCACTTGAACACTGCTCGTTTATCTGTGCATTTCCTCCGTGCATTACATGGCAAGGAATAGTTTGTTCTCAACGTGAGAGGGACTTTGAATACGGTGACAGGCAGGAAGTAACCCAAGAAGACAGTGTGATATGGTTTTGCCGTCAAGTGCTCTGGTCCCAGGAGGATTGTTTTCAGGTATTCATTCATTCACTCATTCACTCATCAAATAATTCCTGAAAGACACCGTGACATTCTTTCATGCTTTGTGCCAAGACCTATGCATGCTCTTTGCAGGCTGGGTACTCAGTGTCTGTGGGGTGATAAACATATCTAGGCTGAAGAAAGTAGGTGAACCTGAGAGGGGTCAGGCGGAATCACCAGGGAATGGCTTCCTGGCCATTCAGTAATTGATTTATTCATATATCAAACACATTTACTGACTGCTTACACTGTGCTAAATCCACACATTCACCTGTGCCTAAGATTACTGCAGTTCCTGTTCTCATGGAACTCATAATGCCAGTGAAGGGGGCTCCCCTGACCCCCTTCTAAGTCTACCTGTTTTCTTCAGTTGGGCCCATCAGGAAGGTTCAGCTGCTCCCAGAATGTTTCAGGAAAAAATCAGGCCATTGCCCAGCAGCCCTCCCAGCCCCATGTGATTACCAAGCCAGAGACTCACCATTTCCTCCAGAGGCTACTAACCCAAATTACCCTGTGCCCTGTGGGGCATGCAGAGCTCAAGGCAGTTTGAGAGAGCAGAGAAGGAAGGGTAACAAGACATTAAAATCAGCCACCAATTAACTGTGTCTGCTGAGACTCTAGAAGACTGCAGCCAGACACCTGGGAAATGCCTCCACTTGGAGGCTTTAGAAAAATTGTGGAGGGGCCAGTGAGTTCATCTTTTCAAGAGGCTCTGAATTTTAGAATCTAAGCACCATTTGAAATGATGTTAGGTTTCCATAGCAACAGTTCTTATACTTTTTTTTTTTTTTAAAAGAAAACATGTTTAAGAGTTTGGCCACATACCTGCAAGAGCTAGAAGGAACCTCTCTAAATGAATATCTAGCAAGTTTCCTTAAGTATCACATTTCTGTCCATAACAGATGCTATTTTGGACCTCTCAACATTCCCAATCTCTTTTCAGAATTTCCACTTGAAAAATGGACCCAGGAGCATTGTTACTCAATGCCCCTAAACCATTTGCATCATGCTTTGGGCAAAGAAAAAGCCTTTGTCGCTTGTGTAGTTGCATTCTTGTCCAGGGTTTGTGCTGGACCGCACAGTGGCAGGGAGCAGCCTGTGCTCACACGGGAGGGGCCAGGGTCGCTGGTGACCAGGATCATGGGAGCACATCCGGCTCCCTGATCTCCTCCCGAGTCCTCCTCCACCGAGGTGCAGCAGGATAGATTTTTCTACAGTCTAAATTGTATCAAGTTCCTTCAGTCTAAAACTCCAAGCTTCAGAAGTTTGTGGTCTTTCACAGGATAAATTGCAGGTTCCTCCGCCTGGCTCCTAAGACTGACATGATCCAGTCCCCAGCCCCTCTCATCTCTTGAAACCCCTATTCCACCCTCCCAGTTAACTCTCCATCCATACCGTATTGCTGAGGGTACCTGTGCTTCATGATGCTTAACACTCCATCCTCTTGCATCAGTTTTCCTTCTCAGTCTCCATTTATCTGAAGATGCTGTGAAGGATCCTCTCTTCCAGGTGGGGTTCCTGACTCCTGAGTGCCTTGGTACCTTGGGGGTCTTGATATGTCTTCATGGGCCCTGGGCATCTTTGCCTGTATGAGCTCCTTTTTCTATTAAAAGAATTAAATGTTATATTTTATGGCTGCTTTGGTATGAAGATGAATATAATCTTTACCCTCAAAGGTCAATTTTCCTTCTGACCTTAAAAGAAACTGAAACATTCCTGTGAGCCCGTAAAGGTATTGTGGACCCCAGACACGATACTTCTACCTAATGGAGAAGTCTCAGGGGCTTGGCACTTTCTGTTCCCTCGGTCTGGGTCCCTTCACATGCATGACTCTCCATTATGTAAGGCCTTTCCTGATGTCACAACCTGTAAAGGCACACCCACCACTCGGTTATTCAGTATTTCATTATTCTGTCTTATCCTTCACAGGAGTCATCATAATGTGTGAATATCATGTCTATTCCCTTTCATGGTTTCCTTTTTTATTAGTTGTTTCCCCCATGAGAGTCTAAACCCCTCTGGGTTCAGAGACATGGTCTGCCTTGCCCACCCCTATATTTTCAACATCCAGCAATGTGGTCCACACTAGTAGTAGCTCGGTAACTATTTCTTGAATGAATGACTAAACCAACACCTAATTCTTGAATGTTTCTCTTATGCGTCGACAGGAATATGATGGTGGGTTGCCTGTCTTAGAAAATTGTCGGGGGCCGAGGGCTGAAGCGTGAGCTCCTCTGTGCTGCTGGGTTGCTCAGAATTTTCAGACGCCTGTCTCTCTATTCCTCATTTTCTCCCTCCCTCTCTCTCTCTTGCTCTCGCTCTGAGTTCCTCCTGGGCCACCATTCAGATCGGAGTGGCATCGGTTCCCAGAGCACTCCACTCTGGGGATGCCAACAGCTGCATCATGGCTTTCCCGCGTGTGCATCTGCGCATTAACACAGGCCTTTCGGGCCTGCTCTGGCTTGCCTGACCCCAATCCCACCAGGAAAGAATGTGCATCTGTAATACTCTGGAAAATTGGGGCTGACATGTAGCTTGGTACCCAAAGTGGTTTCACTCAAGCAAACAGAGAGAATAATAGCCATGCACTTAAATGCTTGAGCAGATATCAATTGGAGGAACGTTCCAATAATCCGTGTTTATAAAGCCCGTGAGTATGAATTTTTGAAATAGCACTTACCCCACTTCATTGTTGACAAATGATGTTTGTAGCCATTGAGATATTTTATTCCAATTATGTGCCAGTGTTGTGGGGAGAAGGCTTCTGACGATAGCAGGACATAAGCCATTTTTACTGTGCCTCTATCACTATTCCCGTTGCTAAACTCAACTGGACAGTTCATTAAGATGAAAAATTAACAGCACATGCTTTGGGGAGAATAATCATGGAACATGACAGCTTGTGGAGGCACTGGCATTCAGAGAAGCAGACAGATGACAAACGTGCTCGTCTTCGGAAGAAGTGGTGATTGCCCAGTCGGTCAGGAGCCAGGCATTTACTGAGCGCCGACTTGTGTGTTCAGCCCTGAGCTGAGGTGCTGGGGGAAAGAAAATGCAGGCAGTACGGCCTTTGCACTCCAAGAGCATACCATCTATTTGGGAAGGCTGGGGAGATCTTAGCTGTCAATCTGGAAGCCCCAGAGGGGTGTACATGAAATGCCTGACACTTTGGTGCCGACTGTAAGTTCCGGAGTAATTCAGTGTGGACTTTGGAGAAGATTTCTTAGACCTTGAAGAAGAACAGGATGTTGATTAGTAAACTGTACTCTAAATATAGTAGCTGCTAATGGCTATGATTTTGATTTTGGGAATTGGTGAAATGTTCTAGAATTAGATAGCAGTGGATTGATGTACAACTTTGCAGATTTACTGAAAACATGGAATTGTATACTTTAAAAGGGTGGACTTTATGTGAATTATATCTCAAGAAAGCTGTCATTTTTTTAAAATGCTAAATTACAGTAAATCGTATTCAGAGTAAATCTTGTTCAGGGGAGTTGAGCTTAGTTCCAATAGAAAAAAGGGATGGGACAGACTTACATTGATAGGAAGGAAGCTCATACCCATTTTACCGATGAGGAAGTGAAGGGTCAGACCAGCTCCTGCTTTGCCCCTGAAGCCACAGTGAATAGTGGGGCTGAGACTTCACCTCTAGCCCTCCTTGGCTCCAGCACTTAGATGCTTCCCATACCACGCTCCTGGTGCCCAGAAAAAACAGACCCTGGAATACAACAATAACACGAATGACAATGATGACAGTGACTTCCCTCTGTAGAGCACCCTCGCCTCTCTTTTCTCTCATTTGTTCTTACGGCACCCCTGTGACGAGTGATCAGTATGAGTGTGCCTGCATCTGTGGAGGTGGGGTGTGTCTTAGGAGAAAAGGAGGACCGGGAGAAAGGAGATCACATCTGCTTTGCAGGCTGCATAAAGAACGCTGAATTCTCTTCTTCAGGCATTCAGGGTGTTTCCACCTCCACTTAGGGCTCTGTCTCTCCCTGGACTATTATATGCATCCTATTTCTCCAGGGCAAGTAGAATTTCTAAGTGAAACCATAGAGATGTGGAATCCACGGATATTTAGAAACAAGGCTTGGAATTGGGTGTCCTGCCCGTTAAATATAGAAGTCAATGCTGTTTCTCTTCTCCTCTGTAGAAGGAGCAGGTACACATTTCTGTTGTAAAGCACACGTCTAGATTGAAGTCACTTAAATCATTATCTCCCCTGCAGTTCATAAGAGAGCTTTTGATGTCATTCTCAGCTTACTAGTGTAAATAATGGGTCAAATTCTCATCCTGTTGGACAGGATGGAAATCTGACTCAGGATTTGTAAATACTGCTGCATTTCATTTATTTTCACGGGGACATTTTCTTCCCCAGCAGACAGTGAAATAACAGCATCCTGGGAAACAGCCTGTGGAGGAATCACGACGCATTAACCTAAGCAGTGAGATCTAAACAGAAGCTCTGTTTGCGATCTCCCGCCAGAGCCCAAATCCCGGCAGTCCCCACTGTTTGGCTGCGTTCAGGAAGCGTAAATAAAATTAGATCTTCGGGGCTTCCCTGGTGGCGCGGTGGTTGGGGGTCCGCCTGCCGATGTAGGGGGCACGGGTTCGTGCCCCAGTCCGGGAAGATCCCACATGCCGCGGAGCGCTGGGCCCGTGAGCCATGGCCGCTGAGCCTGCGCGTCCGGAGCCTGTGCTCCGCAACGGGAGAGGCCACGGCAGTGACAGGCCCGCGTATCACACACACACACACAAAAAGATATTTGTAGAGTAAAAAGGAGCTGAGATTTAGGAAGTGGGAGTCTTTCTCAAGCAGCAGACATCCTCTTTCCCAATTTCATTACGGTTTTCTTAGCTTTTAAAGAACTTAAAAGAATAAAAAATAATAAAAAAAGATTAATACTTCCTGAAATATATCCCTGCCTATTTCAGAGTGTTTGCTTTTTTCCCCTCATTGAAGGGTCTGGACTAGTGGCCTGACTCAGCGGTGGGAATGGCCAGGTTCTAATCTTGTTTCTTGCTGGAAAGTGACTGCTCTGTGCTCCTCTTTGATAATTTGTCAAATGTGGTCAACAATGGGGTGATTATTGTAATCGCCCAATAATTAGCGTCTACTCTATAGGGATTTTGTGACAGTTGACAGAGCTATTACCTCTAATGCACTTAGAACAATGCCTGTCACATAGAGACGGCTTCCTGAACAGGGCTCAGGGTGGTAGTGATGGCAATGCCTGAGTCTATACAATTCCAAATATCCAGGTGTTTCCAAATTCAGGTTCCTAGACAGAAGCTCGCAGTGAATGACGGAACACAGGTCATAGCCAGGTTTGTACAGCACAGGCACGCAGGTTTGCCCTGGAGGCCCGGCCTCCCCTCGAGCTGGCCTGAGCGTTAGCCTGTGAAGGTGGCAACAGGCACAGCCTCCACTGGGCTCTGTCGGCACCATGTGCTGGTTTCCATGAACAGGGTGCTCCTCTTTGCAGAAGAGTGGTGCCAACTAAAGTGCCCCACAAAATACAGAAGAAGCACAGTGCATGGGCTGGGAGTGGCGTCACACAAAATGACCTGGGTTGGAATTTTGGGTCTTCCTCTAACTGTGACTTTGAACAGAACAGTAACTCTCTCTTGTGCTCGTGTTTGTTTGTTTTTGTTTTTAATGGAGCAGGAAGCAGTGACCGTCTTGACTGTCTCCCAGGGTTGAAGAAGGACTTGCATGTTTTAAATTGTGAATCTGTACTTTCCTTCTCCTTCCCCAGCGCGATGTAGCTCAGCACAGAGGAGAAGGAGCTATGGCGTCCCCCTCTGTGCATCATCTCAGCTTCCTTGTGAACCGCTACGTGTGACTTCTGCTGAGTGCTTTAACCTCGTGAAGCTTCTGCTTTCTCATCTCTTAAATGGGCGTATTAGTTTCCTGTTGCTGCTGTAACGAACTGCCACAAACCTAGTGGCTTTAAAACAACACAACTTTATTATCTTACAGTTGTGGAGATCAGCAGCCTAAAATGGGCCCCATGGGCTAACTAAAATGGGCCCCATGGGCTAAAATCAAGTTATCCATAGGGCTCTGTTCCTTCTGGAGGTCCTAGGGGAGAATCTTATTACTTGTCTTCTTCACAGTCTAGGTGTCTCCTGGGTTCCTCAGCTCATGGCCTCTTCTTCTGCCTTCAAGGTTCATCACCTCATCATCTGCTTCTCTCATCCATTCTCTCTCTCTCTCTCTGTCCCTCCTGCCTCCCTTGTATAAGGACCCTGTGATTACACTGACTCCACCTGAATAATCCAGAATGATCTGCCCATTTCAAGACCCTTAATTAAACCACATTCACAAAGTCCTCTTTGCCTTACAGTTTAATACATTTATAGGTTCTGGGAATTAACACATGGACATCTTTGTGCTGGGGCCTTGTTTGTACTCATAGGACTGCTGCAAGGATCAAATGAGACAAGGCATGTAAAATACTTAGCACGGTTCCCAGCACATAATAATAACTCGATAAATGTTTATTCTCCTCCTTAGAATCACTGATAATGACATTTGCTTGCATACCTCCAGGAGACAGCTAGGGATTGCCACAGTTGTAATTGCCCAGCTCTGCACGCTGGCGGGAACAGTGGCCTTGTTTGGCCGTGGCTGGAGGCTTCCACTCATCTTAGCCCTGTAGGGAAGCCAGTCTGCAGAGATACTTCTGTCTGAATAATGCTCCCTCCAACAGAGTTAGCCTGACCAAGTTTTGCCTCTTTTCTAAGCTTCAGCTTTCTTATTTGTAAACTGAGGTTAGGGGGAGAAGCTTGACTCTGGGGCCCCGGGGTTCAGTGGTTCTTCTGTTGAAAATCTATGAACTATAAGAAATGATCACAGGTGAACCAAAAAAAGTGCAGGTTGGTATTAAGGTATGCTTACTGGCTTCTCAGGGAAAACAGCCCATTGCAAAACAACAACAATAGAAACAGCTATCATCTTCTCTTGCTTTCCATGAGCCTTCATCAGGGTTTCTACCTGCGGGTGCTTCTGGCTCGGGCTGGGCTATGTGATGACGTAGACAGGAGGCTAGCACTGGGTACTTTCTGTAATGCGTGGATCCCGGATAAATGAAGATGTGAGCTCAGGTTTCCAAGATTAAGGTGGGGGCTGAATTCTTCTATTTAGAAGATACATCGTTCATGGATCCAGGACTGGAGAGGAAAAAAGCAAAAAGAGGAAGAAGCCTACTATGTGTCAGACACGTAGGGATGCTGTCTGTGTATCATTTAATTGCCACCACTTTGCCTGGGCTGGGGAGCATTTTATCTCCATTTTTCAAATGAGAAAACAGAGTGTGAGAAAGATTGACTAATTTGCCTGCTGCCTCACAGCTGGTAAGTGACTCGAGAAGAAGGAAGTTGAATTAATACTTCAAATCCAAAACGGAGCTTCTTAGCTATAGCAGTGAGCCTTCCTGAGTCTGGGCGATCTGGCTTTCTCTGGTACATGGCAGGCCACTGTGAAGTGACTTGGTCAGCCCCCTGAATGTCTCCACTCTCCCTCTCTAGTGGACAGAAAGCCAAGGCCACGGTATATTTCATCATTTCCTCTTTTACCCAAATTCTTGCGAAAAAAATCTCCAGCTGCCCTGTCGTCTCCTTTACAGTCCTCTGTCTTCCCATCTCAAATCCCTCTTTTTCCAAGTCATTTCAGGCAAAGTCGAGTGATGGATGTTTGCAAACAAGTTGAAACCCTAGCACCCCAGTGATCCCTCTCACCTTCAGATTTCACCTCCCATTGGAAGCTGGACACTCGTTGCCTGTGGCACCGTCTTCACTGATGATCTCTTTGGGACTCTTTCGGGGGATCTGTGTTTTGAATCATTTTAGAAGTGGCAAGAGCACTGTCTTGTGAGAATATTGGAAGTTCGTCAGAGCCACCCAGAGACAAGATGGCTGCAGGCTGTGAGGAGGTCCTGCCACTTAACGTGGGTTGTGGTGAGCAGTGACTTGTGACTCTGATGAGATGGGTCTGCATGTCTTCTGTGACTTAGAAGCTGCCTCCAACAGGACATTTGGATGCATGGATTCAGGTGTTGGCACAAAATTAATCTCTTTAATTGCAAACCACAGTCCCTACAGAGGAGGAACACAGCAGGCACCTTCCAAACAGGTGCAGTATCAGATCCAGCACCTCTGAGTCCTGAGCAGAATGAAGCCAAGCCTTGAATCAAACACAAATCAAGCCTTGAATCTGACCTGGTGCAAGGTGCAGTGAAAATCAGGAGGCTCTAGGGGTGGAAAAAAGAAAACAGATACTATAGAGTTGTTGTTTTTTTTCTGTGAGAAAGGCTGTACCAATTGGGCAATCCTTAAGGTCAAATTGCTAAAAGTAGAACCTCTAAGATCAGATGGTCAGGGGCGGTATTAGTTGTGTGACCTTTGGTGAGTTATTTAACCTCTCAGAGTTTCAATTTTTCACCTATAAAATGGGGATAACAGTAGTTAAAAAAAAAAAACCCATAGGGCTGTGCGCAGATTAATGAAATAAAGCACGTAGAGCGCTAGGTGCAGTATTCAGCATGGAATAAGCACCCCATGACTGTGAGCCCCCCCCACCACTGGCTGCTATTAATCAGCTGTGTCCTCCTGGACGAGAGGAAGGCCAAGTGGGAGCTGATTTTGGAAACCCTGTTCCCCCTCAAGGAAAGTTTTTCCTTTCTTGGGGCAGGATTTTCAGCCTAAGCCCTACTCTCAGATAGTAGCCTTCACCTTCACTAGTATCTCTGAACAGTACTCTGACTTATTCTTTCACTCTCCATCAATAAAACAAGGATAACAATAACCCTCGCTTTTGTTGGCTGGTGTGTAACATGAGCTAATGTGTGTGAAAGTCCTTTGTAAATTACAAAGTGCTAAAAAGTATGAATTATTGTTGTGATTGTTCCATTCTAGGCGTCTCATAAACAATGCGGAAAATTAAGGATGAGTACTACTGGTATTCACGAAGCATTTATGCCTTTTTAAGCGTGTGACTATAAACTGTCAGCAGAGGGACTTGATACTGCAGTCTTCAGTCTGGCTTAAGTACTGCCCGCTGAGGGCAACGTTCTAGCAGGGACAGTGCTGGCAGGCAGTGGAGCATAATGGTTAGCTGGGGCAGCTCTGTGATTCCACCAGCTTTGAATACCAGCCACTGATGTGCTTTGTGACTTTGCCCGGAATTACCAAAGGACTTCTGAAACTCACTTTCCTAATTTGTAAAGTAAAGATAGTAATTCTTACCTCACTGAGTTGCTGTGAGGGGTAAGTAAGATAATAATCATCAAGCTTTGGACACATTACACAGTATGGTGATCTGGAGGACCTAGAAACCTCCCTCATTGCAGCCCCCTTGCCTTCTGACTGACAGGTGTGCTCTCTTTCACCTGAGGATTTCCACTGAAACGCTAGTCAGATTTAGAGCCCTCGCTATCACCTGGGCTCCCAGCAGCCTCACAGAGGCCACTGCCGCGCTCACTCAGCAGCCCAGCACCTGGCTTGCCCTGCTGTTGTTCAGGCCTTCAAGGTCAGTTCCAGTATGGCCAGGCCTTTGCAGATTCCAGTGCCTCCTATTGATAAATCTCTGTGTGTGCTCAGTGGGGTGGGGCATGATATAGAGCAGGAGACCACCTGTTAAAGCCAGTGTGAACAGCCTGAATTCTTGGCCACAACCCTCCAATGGTGAGGGGCCCACCTGGACTCCAAGCACCGTATGTTACCAGCCAGATCCATGTGGACAGTTCAGACACAGCCATGTGCACACTGATTCGATGACAAACTAGAGAAATGTAAAATTGACCTCAACACTATTAAGTTCTAGGGGCCGAGGCTTTAATGCTGACAATGATAAGAAATAGTATTTATTGAGCACTTACTACATGCCACATACAGTGTCCAGCACCTCACAAGAATTATCTCATTTAATGCTCACAACCACCCAAGGAGAAATGTGCTATACTATTCCCCCGCTTTTCAATTGAAGGCATGAGATGAGGAAGAGCAGAGGTAGGCTTTAAACCCCATGCTCTTGGCCACAGCAGTGCCCATGGCTTATGGGGTGGGGGGTGGAGGCTCATGGCCTGGGGGCGGGTGACTGGGAAGAACTGACAATCACAATGGGCTATTTTCCCGTCTTGCTCAGCCTGCACTCTGCCCTTCTCCTTCTGTGTCAGTCCCCTGGGGCTGCCATAGTAACCAGGTACCACAGACTGGGTGGCTTGAACAACAGAAATTTGTCTCACAGTTTGGGAGGCCAGAAGTCCAAAATCGAGGTGTTGGCAGAGTGGGCTTCTTCTTGAGAGCTGTGAGAGAGAATCTGTGCCCCGCAATCCTCCTAGCTTCTGGGGGCCTCAGGCAGTTTTTGACTTATAGATGGTGTTCCCCAGTGACCAAATGTCCCCTTTCAATAAGGACAACAGTCATATTGGATGAGAGTCTACCCTAATGACTTCATCGTCGTCTTAACTTGATCATATGCAAAGACCCGATTTGCACATGAGGTCACCTTCACAGGTACTGGGAGCTAGGAGTTCAGCATCTTTTAGGGAAACACAATTCAGGCTCTAATACCATCCAAGCTCATTTCTAGGATACCACTTTAGACACAAATGTGTCCACTATAAGTCTTTTCCCACAGACTCAATCAACAAGTATTCACTGAATGCTTCCCACGTGCTCAATATATCAAGCTACCCACTGGAAGTAAGATGATGAACAAAACACATATGAGCCCCATCGTCATGGAGCATTGATGATGCACTCTTGGAGAATTTCAATCACTAGACCCTCACAGTACTACAGCTAAGCCTTTTATCAGTAATTCCAAATGCCTCATCTAAAGGGATAAGTGAATGTAGCTTCATCGTTCTGAGTAAATCTAAAGAGAGAGTAACCGGACATAAATATTAATATTTGATCAACTTCATTTGCATGTACACATCTCCAGTTCATCCATTGCTTTGCAAAGTGGCATGTGATTTCTTAAAGTCTCTGTGTGTTTTTTTCCCCTAGTTTACTGGTAGGGTGTCATCACAGGCCTCCCAGACCAAACACTGTAAATAGAATGATTTTAACCAGTGTACCACTTATTAGATGGGAGAGCAATTAGCCTGTGCTCTGTTTAATTAAGCCTCACTTAATGGACAAACGTTTTCTTTAACGGGCTTGCTGTCACCTCCTAAGTTATTTAAGGCAGTTCATTTCACAACAGGGGGAAAAAAGAAAGAGATAGGAAAAAAAATTCTCATTTGCTCCAAGTCGATTGGTCTGAGGAAAAGCTTGGCTGTCTAGAAGATGCCTAATTGCCTCTGTGATCCTGTGCTTAGTCTCTATTTAGTCTTAGGCTTCTTATTGAAACGCTAATCAGGGTTAGGTCTCACCTCTTGAATGATTTTGTAAAAACTTGATATTCCTCTGCTTAGCTAGGAATGTCTGCATGCAAGTATAATGCCACTCTGACTGAATGGAAAGATAACTAATCCCCTTGCAAAGAGGGCTCTGATTTGGTACATACAGTACAGATCAGGGGAAATCAGAGTAAAATTAATTTCCTTCTTTGCATAGGCACCACCTCTGTTATACCAAGAGCCACTTTTCTTTGGCTGAGTTTGTTGGGGATTTGGAGAATGCTTGGCACGTGTATTTGAGCTTATTTCCTGTAGCTGGGGTCAAATTTAGGTTATGCCATTTTATCTGGTGTCAGAACTTGGGGAACTTAAGTTCTTTGATTCTCCGTTTCATCTGTCAAGTAGGAATAATTATCCCTACATCACAAGACTGTAAGGAGTTCAAGTACCATTCACGCTCCTAGCTCAAGGTCTAATTATTGCAGGCATGCAATACAACATATTATCTGCCTCTCCCTTTGTTCTCTGTCCCTTCCCCCAACCACCAACCCTTGAAGGTGGGACAGATGTGGTTGGTTTGGGGTTTTGTTTTTCCCCCACAGCCGTAACACACTCACCTTAAATCTGACTCGTAGGCACTCTGCTGCTTCTGAGTTCTAAGGTCTTAACACATCTAACGATGAAAAATGACTAATTGAAGCAGACACCCATTTATTTTTGACAGAGGAGAACCACAGTGATGGACATTTGGCTATTTTTGCATGGTCAGCTGACTTGCTGCTGACTTTCCGTCTTTCCATGCTGCAGTACAGGTATGAATCCAAGCATTGCCTTCACCTGCATTGGCCAAAGAGTAAACGCTATCAGTATTATAATTATTATTTATTATTTCTGCTTGTGGTCTGCCTTGTGCCTACCTTTCCTGCCTCACCCACTTCCTCTTCTTGAGCAGTTCCTGTGTTTTCACAGTCCCACATTCCCATTGTTACCCGAACACAGCGTCTAATTCCATGCCTTAGATGTTTGTTCCCGCTGGTCTGACCCTGAACATCTGATTCATTCATATATTTCAAGACTTAATTCTGGCTTATCAAGTTAAGTCTTCTCTGACCAACCACGTGCTCGTGCCCTCATTTATGTGAGTCTCCTATGAGTTCTCTCAGCTCTCTCATTTCCCCATCAAAGCACCTTCCACATTGTTTCCCAATTTTCCAGGCTGCTGCCCAGCCTGCCGCCACCACCATGAGACACTCGGTGACTTGAGGACCATGACAACATCCTCTTGTTATTCCCTCTGCTTAACACCAGGTTCCCACTTCATGCTGAGGGCACGTTTGGCAAATGCATTTTTATTAATTTGTGTGTGTGTGTGTGAATAAAGATCCATGAATGCTGCCTTCTGAAATGACCTTGGAAGTTGCCTGCTAATCCAGCATGGTACATGCTCCTAATATGAATGATCCTGACTCTCAGATTTGGGTATTGGTTATTTTCTCAGAACCAGTGTCAAGTCAGAGGATGAAAGAGAACATTCATTATTCCTAATTCCTCAATCAATTAGCACTATAGATAATTCTTTCATCCTTAGGCCTTTTACACTATAGGTCACCTGTCAATATCCAATGGCCTATTCTACCTTCTCCTGGGAAATCTAAAATCCTTCCGTGGTTTTCTCTGACCTCAGTTACACTGATTTTAAAAGTTCCCAAACTGTCAACATTTACCCAAATGTGATCTCTTCTGCCCAGTGATGTTGCTTCTGTGAAGAAGTAGGCAAGAGAATTCTGAGTTCACAGAGAAGATATTTGAAGACAAACTGATTCTGGAAACTAGGATAAAAATAATTTGAAGCTTGAAGATTGGCTTACCTAGTCCAGTTCTTTATTTGTACAAATATTTCCACTTTGTCAGACAAAATACAGGACTTCCAGTTAAATCTGAATTTCAGATAAACAACAAAGTGTTTTAGTATAAATATGTCCCCCAAATTTTATAAGACATACTTGTACTAAAAATAACTGTTGTTTCTTTAAAACTCAGATTTATTTGGATGTCCTGTACTTTCATTTGCTAAGTCTAGACCCCTGCTTTCCACTAAAATTAATGACCTGCCCACTATGATTTGATAGGTTTGACACCAGGCATGATAGGGTTGGAAACACACAGGCTTTCTGAGTCCCAAACCAGTATTCATTCCTAAATCATATGATTGGGAGTGGAAATTTTTCTACTGTAACACAAAGGGCTTTTGGCAAGTTTGTGATCCTAGAAATCTGCCCCATCTTAGCAAAGCAAGAGTTGGTTCAACACGCAACCCAACTCAAGAAAAGTGAGCCATATTAAAACAGTTTTACCAAGGGTAATTGCAACATAGTTTCATCAGTTCAGCGCACCACAAGCCTGACTGCAAATGACGGGTGTGTGCCCATTGACACCAGGTTCTCTCTAAAAAAATTGCTGTTGTTTTCTGTTGTGTAGGACATCGGCAAAAGGAACTGTATTGAGGATTACCAGAGCCATACAATAGAATATGGGCAGTTTACTCTGAAGCCATCCATTTATCCAGTATGCATGATGTCTAGTTGTCTCCAAAATAAACTCCGATTCTCCATGCTCACTAAGGAACTGACTTAAAATTCTTTAGCCAGTTATAAGTAAAAGAATTTTCACTATTCTGCTATAATCTGAATTTCTCCTCTTTATCATGCTTTCTTGTTCCAAGATGGCTTCACTGGGAAAAAAAAAAAAAATCACATCCTTCTCTTAAGGTCTTCATTACTCTTTTATTTTTTAACATCTTTATTGAAGTATAATTGCTTTACAATGTTGTGTTAGTTTCTGCTGTATAACAGTTCATTACTCTCTGCAGGAAAAAAAAAATGTATCTTTTCTCATCTACCTGCTCAAAGTGCAATCTCAGTGCCAAGTTTGTGACTTGTGATGATTTGAAGGAGACGTTGCTTCTTTTAAATATGTTCAACAAAATGTCTGCTTGCTTTTTCTTATGACCCCGGGAAGATATTTTTTGGATTTTGGTTTAGATATCACTGGTGTTTCACTCTGAGTGTTCTCAAAGTGAAACCTCCATCCCCTCCTCATGTCAAGGAGCCTATACTCTATACTCACTTATGGTAAGAGTCACTTTTCAATCTGGATACAATCTGAAAAGCCATTCCCTTTTCAGAAAAGCCATTCCATCCTGTTGCCAGGATGCATCCTGGGTAACACTTAAATCTTTCCTCTCCTGTAGGAAGATCTTAATGGTTACCCAAGAACTGAAGGCTGGGCATCTGTTGAAGAGGGTGTACAAGCTGGTGAAATACTGACATAAAATAAGAATTTAACTTATATAGCAGCCGAGGGTTCAGTTCACTCCCTGCTGGATAAAACATGATTCAGCAGCAAGGTGCAGAGACTCTGCCATAGGGCCTGTTGGAACATCTCAGCTGCAGAGTGGGAAGGGCAGGAAGGTGAGACACAGGCGTGTGTGTGTGTGTGTGTGTGTGTGTGTGTGTGCATGCGTGCGCACACGTGTGTGTGTTTGGTTGGAGCGGTTAGCTAGAATAACTCTAATGCAGTAGAAGATATTAAGATCCCAGAATCCCAGAGCCCTTGCTCTGGGTTGGTCCAAAGGGTATACATCTGAGGGAGAAGTACAGTCATCGCCAGAGTTACACAGCAGATACAGGCAGGAGGCAGCATCATTTACTGTCTCCTCTGCCCAGATAGAAGGGAGACCCCAAGAAGTAGGTAAAAATGCCAGAGTCAGGGGCAGACCCCAGGGGGAAAAACCTGGCATGGCCTAGGTACAACCTCAAAGTCCTAGGCAGTCCAACTGGGCTTATCACCAGAGAAGCAGTCATGGTGAGGATTAGGTAGTGGGTTTCCCAAGAAACAAGGCATCAACTCATGATGTGGAGGGCATGGCTTCTGAGGAGGAATAAGAAGGGGGCTTTAGTACTGTCCTTCCACTTCTACATTCCAAAATTCTACCCATCTGTTTCCAGATCTAGGTCCTATTTCCTTTCTGGGTGAAGTGGCTATGCCATCCTGAGTATATTTTGACCTCTCTGAATGTTCATCTTTACTGTTCATTTTAATGAGCTACTTAATCTGGGGTTGTTAGTATTTTCTGAATGTGTATGTTTGTCAAATCAACTAGCTTTCAAATTCTGAATCTCCCCTCCCCAACCCGCCCCGACCTTGTGAGTTCTGGGTGGGATTTACTAGGTTGCTGGAGTTTAGATCTTAAAATGTCTATGCATAGAAGATGGAGGATGGGAATTTAGACCTTGGGGATGCAGAGGGTCCCAGCCTGGGATACCCAGTGAAGAGGTTGTATTCAGAAGCAGGAAGAGACTGAATGAGGAGACCAAGTCATGTTTCTATGTCCCTGAGGGCAGCCATCCTTGAGATGCAAGAGTGGGCATCTCTGTCATGGATGTCTTGCCAGGAAGGCTAAGTAAGTCCTTGATGATAAAGTTCATGACTTATACAATAACTACTTTGTTGTTCAGTCTTCCTCTGCCCCTCGTGTGACTGGGGCAACTCTGGTCCAAGGGACTTCCCCTTAGTGGGTGATGCTAGAGAGCCCATTCCACTTTACCGGCAGTACCATGGATTGCAAAAGTCTGCCCTTCTGATAAAATCTTTTTGGAAAGAGGTACTTGGTTAAAGGATGTAAGATTCTTGAGAGCAAGGGCAGAACCCATCCCCTGCTGCACATGCTTCTCCTGGGGAGACATCATGGCGTACCTGGGAAATATCCCATTGTACTTTGTCACCTTGGTGCTCTATACACTGATTAAAGTTTTATATTTTTTGTTTGTTTACGTAATTTTGTTAAAAAAAAAAAAAGGTTATTGTCACCGCCTCTCCATTTGCTGTTAAAAACAGGATTGAATCTCCTCTGCAGTGTGGGTATTGAAGCAACCAGTGGTCTTCCTGTCAGAGAATACTTCTGGGCCTCACCTTGGATGCCCTCAGGTGAACCGTTGATGTGTGGGACTTGCCTCCATCAAGGCATAATCCTTCCTTCCATGAGCTACATACCTAATCTTTTCAATGATGATTAGCTCATGAGATCTCACAGAGCTATCTCACGTTGGGCTGGTTCCTATTGTTGGAAGACATTTATTGTCTGGCTGCCTTCCTTTAGTTCCCTGCACCACTTGCATGTTATTACTCATTAGCACTTTCTCTGAGGCTGAGGCAGTGAAGGATATAGAGGAAAATTTTGTTCTAAAGTGGAAAATGTTGTGAGAGAGAGGTGTGGAAATCACGATTCATTCCTTCAAGGACTGTTTGGAAGAGTGGGGCAGGCTGGAGAACACCTAGGGAAGGGTTGGGGCAATTCCTCTAAGGAAATGTTAAGGGACTGGTTTTGTTTGAAGTGGAGAATTAATTGCAAGACTCTTGGAGGAAATACGCACTCTCTAAAAATGCTAGTAACCTGAGTTCCTTGAGAGCAAAGAATGTTTCACCTTAGTTTGTAGCATTTAACAATTGCAGAGATCCTACAAATATTTATTAAGTGGTTGTGATGTGGAATAAGATCCTGCTGAGCTCTGAGCATCCCCAGAAGGAAAAATTAAGACCTTCAAAGGACAATTACAGAGACGTTCATCATCAAAGGTGGAAAGATAAGAGCTTCCAAATGGGCCATATATGGCTTCAAATTTCATTTCAGGTGCCAACTAAACCGAATGCTCTGAAAATGAAGTTCCTCTGGCCCTTGTTTCCTTATCTGGACAAAGGAGGCAATAATGCAAAACTCTCAAAGATGCTGGAGGGAGAGAGGCTATAAAGAATCTACATAAAGTATCTAGCACCTAGCA